TGCTACAACATCTGCCCAAAATAGCAAAGCAAATATTATTAGACATCTTTAATGCATGTCTTAAATTAGAAAAAACATCAAGTAGTTGGAGATACACAAACATATGGCCAATTTCAAAGAAACAACATTACAACAATGATCTTACCTATACACACCAAATTATGTTAATAGAACATAGCAGAAAAATCTTTACCAAGATAGTTATTCTTCGACTCAACAAGATCTTTACTCAACATTCAATATTAAATGAAAACAACAATGTGGCACTTCCTTTCATCTCAACTCTTCAACCTATACAAACTATTTCTCATATAATAGAACATGCCAATATAACAGGAAGTCAATATTGAATTTTGGCACAGGATATGTCTAAAGCTTACGATACAGTTTATATACACCTCTTAATTAAAACACTTTAGAGAATACACATACCAACTTCCATAATTAATTTACTAAACTATCTTCTTAACAGCAGGCAAAATTCAGTTATTACAAGTATTGGACTAACAAAACTCTACACAGTGCAAGATGGAATAGACCAAGGAGAAATCTTTTCTCCACTCTTATGGAGAATTTATTACAACTCACTAATTCATCATATAGATACAACATACAAAGGATACTACCTTAACACACATACCCATCATACTACTCTGTCAATACATACCTCAGTAGTAGCATATATGAACGATACAATATGGATAGTTAAAGATAAGCAAGAACTACAAAACATATTAAAAACAGTCAATTTTTTCCTATCATATACTAACATCAAAGTCAACCCTAGTAAATCAACTCTTATTATCAACAATTCTGACCCTGAAGCAGAAATAATATTTCAAGAAAAAGTGATACACAATATTAAACCAAAAGCAATTTTTAGACATCTAGGCACATGGCTAACCAGAGATCCATCACTTTAACCTACAAAGAAATTTTTAATTCAAAACATTACCTCCAACCTTAACAAAATCAAATTTGCAAAAATAACAGAAAAGCAAACTATATATATTATTAATAATGTTATTCCAACTTGTACTGCATATCAAATGCAAAGCACTTATCTATTAAAACGTAACTGTGTTACAATTACAAATTTCTATATGAACATAGTAAAACAAAAAGCTAGACTAGCGAAATCTATACCAAACTCAACAATCCATCATCCAAACATATATGCACTTAATACATTGTATAATATTCAACAACAACAACAAATCCGTATATTAGATAGAAGTATCAACTCACCAGATTTTGACAAACAAAACCTAAAGATACAACTACAACAAATTCAAAATGATGCTAATTCAAATGAATCTATCCTGAAAGAACAACCAATACTATCAACGAATGAAGCAAGAACAAATACAGCCCAAATAATACTTACACTTCATATACTTAAAATTCAATTAGAATGAACAGCAAATTTATGGCCGATTGCTAAACAAACAAAAGGCACATCTATCAATCAAATTCTTCAAAACATAAAACAATTCCAATCAATTAAACAAAAACTAAATTTGCATAACATTACTTGCATTGAACAATTCCTCGATTATACAAATCACAAAATACTAAACTGAAAAGCCTTTCATCATAATATACAAAAAATACCTAGAGGAAAGACACCAAAATGGTTTAAAACAATCACTAATAATATAACCTCCTTATCAAATTCAGCTACAATTCTTCAAAGCCCCAATCTATATATTTTCGTTAATATAAATAACCTTCATCCTAAATGGATAATTACAAATCCAAAATTTTTGGCAAAGTAACAAGCATTAATAACAATTTAGCTAGAATTAGGCACTACAATAACCATCCACTAAATGAACAACAACTTATTTCATGCTTTGGATGTGAACTCAAAAACCCAAGACTTAAAACAACTCATTGTTATTTTACAACCTCAACACAGTTAATCTTCAAAATACAAGTTGATTGCCACAAAAAAATTTATACAAACCTGAAATGTTTATATTCTGAACAAAAAATTAACCAAAATAAATGAGAGCAAAATCCACAATGATTAACTGAAAATTACTGTACCAACTATAGATTTATTTAAGCCTTTGTGAAAGAGCAAGAAGAAATATGGAAAATCTTTACAATAAACACCTTTCCAAAAAAATTAGAAATTACACTAACATCAAACTATAAAAAAACAAGCAAATACAATATACTATTTACTCAAATTGAAATGTTATATAACAAGCAAATTTGGCACTGTACAAATTAGACATTTTCTTCCTTGACCTACACATTACTAACAATGTTAGCTATAATACTTATAGTAATAACTGCAGAAACAAGTATTAAAATTACAACAGACAGTAATTCAATTAAAAACAAAATTACAACAATTTTTTCGAACTAACCAGAACCAAGACAAAAACTCAGAAAAATTCAATTCAACAACATAATCAATCTCTTAAACACTATAGTAAATACAAAAGACTTACAAATTCAAATCGACATAACAGAAGAGAAAATCAGCATAAAAGATGCATTATATCAATTTCATACAGACCTAATCTCAAGCAAAATACTCAATAATACTTTCACTCCATACATACTAAATATACCAACTACATATTCATTCATCAAATACCTAAAATTCTACAACATGCTGAAACAATATCAATATAGAATAATCAAAATCATATTAAAGATATTACAAGATGCCTTCCAAACATTAACTGGAAACTTACATTTAAATATTTGAATCTTCAAAACAAACCTCTAAGTTGAAACACTAATCCTAAAAAATCTACACTAAAAACATTTAAAGTCAAAATCTTAACTTCTGAGCTTCTGACTCATCTAATTCTATACAACAGAAACCCAAAATCTCATTCTAATCTATGCTATGCAAAGTGTTCTAATATACCAGAAGATATTCTATATATGTTAACCTGTCCTCACAATCAAGTAGAACTAAAAGAAATAATCAAAGAAGCAATTATCAAAAATTGTAAAGATAATGAGATCGAATCATCTATAGCATCTGACTTAGCTCAAGAAATTCAAGACATCCATATAAAACAAAAAATTCTAATAGGAATTATATTCAACAACTTAGCCAACATGGGACCATTCAAAAAGAAACCAAACTTGCTTCCAAATATATATTATCGAATTGTAAAGAAAATACATAAACACATATGGAAACCAAGCAGACAATATATTCAATGTCACTCTGCATTTTCATCGATCTCTTCTAAAAACATAAATGTTACATCTATAACTCCCATAGATAGACAATACATGATATGGCTCTATAGATTTATATAATTTAACCAAACATTTCCTCTCACCGAACTCATAGACTAGAGGTCTCTTAACTATTCTAGCTAAGAATAGGTTAAGGGTAAATTAGCCCTAACCTCTACTTCCTTAGTTTAATGTATCAATTTGTACTAATGTATCTAATTATATATTATCGAAATAAAGAACTAGAGGAAAGACCTCTCTTAAAAAAAAAAAAATATATATATATATATATAAACTATTGTGAAAACACTAATAGAATATCTTTGAAGAGCAGTTGTTACCTTTTTTGTAAGTGATGTTAATGTATCTGTATCATCCTTGCCTATATAGATAGCTTTCTTCTTGGAATTTTTCTTATCTGATAAAATACTCAACTTTGTTTTATTTAAGATAACTTGAGCCTTATTTCTGGCTAAGAATTAATCTAAGCCAAATTGCATCTACAAATAGTAAGAAACAGTTAGTACAGTTTATATACACCAATATTCAAGTTAAACTGACAAATACCTCAGCTTGTTCCATTTTCTTTTCTATTAACTGTTTTTCTTTCTCGATTTTCTCAAGCTCTACATCATATCAGAAAAACTTAGTAGATTCCTATTGAGCCTAAGACTTAAAAAAGTAGAAGTGAATTACAGCCTGCTAACTTATTTAAATACATTCAAGGTAAAACATTTAGGAACTATGAACGAACAAGTTGTTCTTAATACTAAGATGAGTTGTTCTTGGCCTTCATGCAGATTTAAGAAGAAGCCTACTGAAAGAAGTTTCATAACTAGTCTCTATAGTTAACCTAATGTATTGTGAGGTTACTTAGATGGTTGTTTTGACAGTATCCAACTTCTTCTCTATTCCTTTGCCATTCTGTGTGTCAATATGTGTATTAATAATGAATCTAACTGGCCTCACCTTTAGCTCACCATCTTTGTAAAGATAAAAGCCATCTTCCTTCAATTTTCATTTGCATTTTCTGCAATATATTGTTATAGAATGATTATTTTATTTTATTATTAGTTATTTTTAGATATTATTTATTATTATTGTTAGTATATTATTTTATATTGTTATACA